CCCCCTTCCTTCCCCCCTTCCCCCCCTATCCTTCTCCCCCTTTCCCCTGTCCTCCTCATTCCCTATTTCCTCTCCCCTCCCCCCCATCCCCTCCTTACCCCCAAGTCCCCTCTCCCCTTTCTCCCCCCCCTCCCCCCCTTTCTCTACGCATCCCCGAGTTCGTGGGCGCGATGCGGAGTGACGTCTCGAGGACCCGAAGCGACACACACACACACACACACACACACACACACACACACACACACACACACACACACACACACACACACACACACACACACACACACACACACACGCACATACACACACAGCACACACACACACATACACAAACACATACACACACCACACAAAACAGATAAACATACACACACCATACAAAACAGATAAACATACAAAAACACTCACACAGCCCCAGCCCCTCGCTATGAAAAAAAAAAATGATCTCCAAATAACCGTACTAAAGCGCTGGACAACTCTCGCTTGTATATTGCACGTGATGTCAGAAGATGTAACAGGCATAACGCGCGAAATTAACGGAGGAAAAAAAAGGCATTTAGAGACATACAGTGCATGGGTCTTTTTTTTTTTTTTTTTTTTTTTTTTTGGCCTGAGTGACTGATATGCTTCTACCCCATTTTTTCACCTTTTTTAAGAGTATTTTCATATATTTTTTTGTTTGTTTGATTGTTTGTTTGTTTGTTTGCTGTTTATTTGGATTTGCCACGCTTAAATGTAAAAAAAAAGAAAATAATTGTGTGATACTCTTTTGCACCGATTCTGTCTGCATTTTATTTTATTTTTTCGTTTCTGTGACTTTGAGCAACATATATGCTGATGGAAAGGACTTTTAAGAGACTAAAATACTCAATCAACGTTAGCATTTTTCTTATTAGGAAATCATATTCATATTTTTTTTTTTACCAACTCACTTAAAGAGATTTACATAATGAAGTGTGAAGAATTTAATACATCTTGCAATCAACAAACAACAAACTGTAATTAGGAGAATGTAATTAGTCTTTAGAGAGATGCCTTAGATAATTAGTTGTATATGATTTTTTTTAAAAGGATTTCATGACCAGATGAGAAAGACAGATGTTATCCTTGCATGCTTCTGGTTTCGTTAGTTATTAAAACGGAATGCTCATAATGTTTCTCGTGTTTAAAAAAGACAACTTCTAAAAAGATATATTATAATTAAAAGAATTATCTTTATCGTCAACCATGTGTTCATTAGGATATATGTATTTTTTAGACGTTCGCAATCTCTGAATATTTTCAGTAGGAAATATTTATGAAAAGTGTAACCCATTCTGCAACACTCACCCGCCCGTCCCGCAGTGAGTCTGCAAGGGAACACAATCTTCTTTTAATTAAGAAGTTCAATCTTGTCCATTGTCACTGATAGCTTATTAATCTTCACTGCAGCTGACATGTGAGATATGAAAGTTATTTCCTTGCCAAATCTTCATTTTTTTTCTCTCTCTAAAACTTATTATTTTTCTCTCTTCCTCTTGCAATGTTTATTGATTCTCAAAAATCGTCTCTTTCGAAGCTCCTTGTATCGTTCACCCGACAGGCAGAATTAAGTGTCCTTTACCCCTTTCCTGCCCTGCTCCCTGCCGTGTAATTGGACGGGACTTGGCATTACAGCTCTTCCGACTTCCCTTGCACGAGATGAGCTCTGAAGGGTTAATCTCCGCCTCTCTCCCTTCCAGTGTCTTCGCGCTGTTCCTCCCTGTCTCGACCGGTGTTCCCTTCGACCTCCCCTGCGCGGCTCATGCTGGCGTCTTTGCTTGTCCTTATTTCCTTTTAATAGTCTGTGGTAGGATTTATTGTTCTCCCATCATACGGAATCTCATATGCCTTGGGTGTACCTTGCAGGGTGTGGCGGCAGCAGCGGGGGCGAGAGCGGCTACGTGTCGCCGTACCTGAGCACGGAGCGCGGGGGGCTGGTCACGCTGGGCCCTTCCCTCCTGCTCACCCGCGCCACCATCGCGCAGTACGACACCAAGCGCACCATCACCACCGTCGTTGCGCCCAAGTCATCCTTCGACGAGAACCGCGTCAGGATACAGGTTCCCGCTGCGGCTGTGGCGGCCGCTGCGGCGGGCGGCGGCGCCACCAGGACAGTGAGCGCCGCGGGAGGAGGAGGCTTAGGGGCAGAGGCCACCGTCACGGTGTCGAGGTCGGGCCCGCAGGAGATCCCCCGGCAGGACACGGGGGGCGACGACGACCTCAGCAGCTCCCACGGTCGTCTCCAGCCCGAAAGCCGCGCCTCCTCGCAGCACCCGACGCAGCACGCCGCCCAGGAGCACCCGCGCAAGCCTTCGCCCAACAGAGCACCGCGATTCGTGTAAGGGCGGGTCGGAAGCGGCGTCCGTCGGCGCAGCTCGTCCGGGCGCTCGGTGTGCAGAGGCAGCGCCGAGAAGTGCGGGCTGGACGAGGCAGACTCCTTATGATTAAGTATTGAAGCTAGAGGCTTCGTGCTCCGCGCGGACAGGTGTCTGAGTGGTTAAAAGGAAGCCCCCCAGGTGCCGCCTGTGTAGGCTACTCGCGACTTGCCCCGCGTGGGTCGGGCGAGTGGGCTGGTTACGCTACGTCTTGAGCTAGCAGAGCAGGGTACGACTGTCGGACAGCAGCAGGACTAACGGACGACGGAATGGCGCCGCGAAAGGTGTCTGATAGACAAAAGAGAGATTTCCGTGTGCTCGGAGAAAGAACGCGAGAGAAAGCGATTCACTAAGCGCTTTACAGGCCGTGTTATGTGCAGGTCACTACAGTCAGTTGAAATATCCACTGGAGTCGCATGCCTTTCCACTCGTGAATATGAAATGATTATAGTGTTTTCATCAAGTTTATCTCTTATCAATATGTCTCATTTCAAATAAGTTCAACGCATGTTTTTAATCAAATGTTTTCATTCCAAACATTGTATGTTATCAAATTCCTTGAGATTATTATTTAAAAAGTATTTAAAAAGTAGTCTTTCGGTAAATTTGGAAAGCTTTAGTTGCCAACGTTGCTAATTTTATTGATTTCTTGCTGGGCAGATTAGAGACTGAACTATGATGCACACAAGACATCGTATAATTCAAAGATATAAATATTTTCATCATGAGAAGTTATGGAAGACTCCAGGAAAATGTACAAGGAATCAGGCACAAGGCATACCTCCTTCTTATATATACTCGGTATATGAGAAGGGAGAAATGTTGGGGCGCTTCTCCAAAAGTCGATTAGGAAAAAGAAAGAGACAAACCTTCACATGGAAAAGTGAAGTAAAATTCCACGTATTCTGGTCCTTGTCGTGCTGCTGCTACAGTAATTCACACACACACACACACACACACACACACACACACACACACACACACACACACACACACACACACACACACACACACACACAAACTCACAAACACACAAACACACAAACACACAAACACACAAACACAAACACAGAGTCACTCGCACTTTCCTCGCCCTGCCCTGCCCTCTCAACCCGCGCCATCGAGTCGCAACCCGCGGGACAGCAGCCGAAGGACACCAGCCTCTCCGACGACGACCACGACAGGAACCGCGGGCAGAACCGGCTGGCGTAGCTTCGAAACGACACGACTCTCTAGCGGTTCGGCGGCGGACCAGACCAGCGATCGGTTGATAGTCTGGACGGGGGTTAAGGTGTCACTAACTGAAACTTTGTAGCTGTGACTGGACTTGAAAATACAGATTATTTTTGCAGACTTTGTTGACTGTATAACAAACTGTAGTATGACCAAAATATATGCAAAGTATGTGCAAAAAGCTGCGAACCAAATCTTTGTATATGTACTCGAGTGTACTGAAGAGAAATGCAGTGTATGTAAATTGCAGAACTTATATGCTGTGTATGTACTGTTCATAAGCTGACGAGAGAGGTGTACATGCTATGTATTGTAACGTTATAGTGTACATAACTTTTGTGTAATGTGTATTCATCGTTGTAGTTTATAAACTTATGAAGAGGAAATTATTGTACATAAATAATTCAGACAGTTAAAAAGGCCTTATATGTTTCAGTAGCAAGGTTCAGTGGGAAATGGTGATTAACGATAGACATCTGCATTATCTTCCAGATTCAAATATATATATATATCACTTTGGTCCCTAAGACGCATCAGAGTTAATTTGTCAGTCATTTTCTTTCTCATCTTTTTTTAAAACATATGTTCTAACTGGATAGGTTTGTGTAAATTTTTGTATCGTATCCCTTTATTAGATTCAGCGTTGCCAAATGATGGAGAGATTAAGATCCATTTGCAATATAATTACAGTGATTAATCCTTTAGATGAGAAAATGAACCTTATTACTCTAGCACATAAGGTAGGAAGCCACCCACGAGTCTCGGAGGTGCTAATAAAACATAGATCGTATACTAATATTTATTACATGTGAAGTACTCTGCAAAAACTGTCCTCTGGTATAGTCGACGTATGGACCATTTTCCTATATCTCTGTGGAAAGGTGGGTCGAAATTTAAGGGCTTTGTCAAAATCGTTGGAAATCCACTTGTAAAAAAAATATATATATATATATAAAAATGTAAAAACAATTCCGAAACCTACAGGCATATTAAAAGTATTTATGTTGCTAATTCATTCATAAAAAAAGAAAGCAGAAGAAGCCTATACTGAAATAAGTTTGTTGAAGAGAAATATGTTGACGCGTTATTTAAAAAAAGGAAAAGAGAAGAAGAAGAAAGAAAAAAAAAAACAGATTCCATTTGTACCTCAAATTATTTTTCCACATTTCTAGACTTACTTTCCGTATCTTTTTGACGAAGTCTTATCGTACAGAGGGCACCATTGACCTCCAGTACCACGCATAGATTTTTATGTTTAGCTTTCAGCTCCTTATTATATGGCCTATGGTAACGTCAATTTCGCCTCCGTCTTATTTAGTGTTCATGTATATTGTATATATAAGAGGGAATAAATGTAAAGATGCGTAATAA